CCCCCCCCCAGTTTCCCGACTTACACATGGGTCGGCCCTCGGCCTCCCATGGTGCGCCATCAGTGCTCGCGCGCACGCCGACACCAACGCTGCGGTTAGCGGGCGACTGGGTGGCTCATTATGGCTCTGGGCAGGTGAGTTGTGCTTGGTGGTACCGTATGGGCCAGTGAGGCGTTGACTCATCCTGCTTCGCCTCTAACCCAATAGCGAGCCTTAGAGGGGCGAAGCCTATACAAAATAGAACAGGGGTTCAATTCAATTTTATTTTTATAGCGCCAAATCACAACAACAGTTATCTCACAGCGCTTTTCATAAAAGAGCATAGACAGTCTAGACCATACTCTGTGATGTTATTTACAGAAGCCCAACAATTACGTACTGTAACCCGGATTCGATGAGTATAGGCGCAGCCCTCTAAGTTGAAGGCCTCACTGGAACTTGGTTCTCAGTGCTGACGAAAAGGCATTTGGGAGCCGAGGGCTGGGTTTCACCGTTGTATATACACACACACACACACACACACACACACACACAGGTGCTAGTCATATAATTAGAATATCATCAAAAAGTTGATTTTTTAAGTAATTCTATTCAAAAAGTGAAACAAGTTACAAATGTTTATTTAATTTAATTGTGATTAAAACTGACAACTGATTAAAATCCCAAATTCAGTATCTCCGAAAAATAGAATACTACTTAAGACTAATCCAAAAAAAAGGATTTTTTGCACGTCATTCCAAGACCAGGAGCCATTAGTAGAACAGGCTTAGCTTTCCAGCCTAGGCTACGGCGTAGCCTGACGTGCACCTCCTCAAAAATGTAACTACACATCGAGTCGACGCGGACCGTAAGCTCTGTGATTGGTCGGTTGAGTAGCCTCGCAATGCCTCCGAGCCAAGTAACTTTTACTAGCGGCCAAAATGGCAGCTGTAACACAGTGGATCAATATATTTGACCGTCACAACCTGAGCGAAATGATTCGTTTCACTATCAGAATGAAATCCATTCGGTCAATAACATTTGAAAAGGCTATACTATACCAGCCACTCGTTTACAATTTTACCCCCATTACCCCCCAATGGGTGCCAGCTGGTCTGCACAGATTTTCAAGCAGGATGGTGACACACCATCTGGGCCAGGAGCCTTCCTGATCTTCTGCCTCTGGAAGAGCTGGCACACTTGCTCTTCATAGATCATGATTGCAGGTGAGGGGTTGTTGAGGAGGGTTGACAGCGTGGCAGTGGGGGAAGGTCATTGTTTGAATATGGTGTGGGAGCGGGGGAGAGGTGTGACTGTGGGCTTCTCAAACCTACATAAGAAACCATTCAGCTCGTCAGCCAGTCGTTGAGTACCAGCAGAGTTGGGGGATGGTCTGTAGTTAGTGAGTGTCCGCAGGCCTTTCCACACTAACGCAGGGTCGGTGGCTGTGAAGCTGTTTTCACTTAAAATGCTGTCTATACTTCATAGCTGAGGTTTGCTCTGTTGAAGTCCCCAAGAACAATGAGCAGGGAGTCTGCATTTGCTTACAAAAAAAGCTTTTCAGCTACGATTTTGGTGTTTTAAGTTAATTCTAGACCGGACTCTGAAGTTATTTACAGAAGCCCAACAATTCCCACCAAGAGCAAGCACTAGGCGACAGAGGCAAGGAAAAACTTCCTTTTAAGTGGCAGAAACCTCGAGCAGAACCATGGCTCAGGGTGGGCGGCCATCTGCCTCGACCGGTTGGGGGTGAAGGAGAGAGAGAGAGAGAGAGAGGGCGAGAGAGAGAGAGAGAGAGAGAGAAGGCAAGAGAGGAACAGAGAAAGAGAGAGGGATGGAAGGAGAGAGAGGGGAGGGAGGCAGCCTACACAATATACACACAGAGGTACAGACAGTAAAGGTGATGTTGCTATAGACTAAATGACTAAATGATAAATGGTATAGATATTTATAGTAGTGTTAATGATAATAATCGTAATGTTAATGATTATAATAACAATAGGACTAGTAACAATATTTGTTGTAGCAGAGGGTGTCTAGCAGGAACACGGGCGCAGCAGGTGACTCGGAGCCACAGATCCAGACTCCACAGCTGCAGTAGTTGCTTGTAGTTTTATACATTTGACTCTTATTTTGCATTAAGTTAACATTAGCTCGTTTGGCTGGAGTATGTGTGGCTTGCTCATTGCCCAAAAGATCAGAAATTCCACCTTCATCACTCGATAAATACTAGATGAAAATGTATCAGTTACTTTAGTATTTAATAGAGTTAATCAGGAGCATCCCTACTCCACATCTCTCACCTTTTTAATTTGATTTAATACATCCATAACCTATACTGTATAGTATCACCTGGTTTGAGAGGCTGTGTTTTCAGTTTGGCTGATTGTTAACTCCTAAGGTTAATTATTGTTCCAGTAAGGTGAATTAATTTCTAAAATGAGCTGCTGAAGAGGCTGTCACATTTTAGGAAGGGGTATTGTAATTAAAGTAGTAACATAATGAGTAATGTAGCTAATTACTTTCAATACCCAGTAATAAGTAAAGTACTATTATTAATTTTTTTAAGGACTAATTAGTAAAAAGTAGTAGTTCCTTAGTAACTTGCCCAACACTGTGCATTTGTGTCTGAATGCTTAAAGTGTAATTTGGATATAATGTTTATGATTATTATTTATACTATATTTTTATGATGATTATTTGATGATGATGTGTATAAAAATTAACCTGCTGTGGATCAATTGAATATCTAACTTTGATTAATAGGTCATGATTATTGAGTAAATCAATAAAACTAACAAATCACTCCCTACCAGGCAGCCACGTGCCTATGATGTGACCTAGAAATCTTATAGAAAAAGATGGTTTAAGGGGACAAACAGGCTTGCTCCTGAGAGAGCTCAGCGGATGCATATCAATGGCCCATATAAAAAATCGAATTTTGTGTGAAAAAAATGCAACAAAGTATAAAGAGCAACAAAGTCTGTGCGGAGGTGGTCGCAGTGGGTGGATGGGTTAAACAAACATAGGAGGACCGTGTGAAACCAAAAGAATTTGTTTTAATGTACATAAAATGTTTTAACCCAAACCATGATATTTTCCTAAATCAAGTTGTTTTGGTGCCTAAACCTAACCAAACTGCTTGACTATGATGATGGAGGTCACCTTTCCTACACATCCAAAACTCATCAAATGTCGAATGATTTTAATGTCAACAGCAAATGCACATGATAATGTAATGGAAGTGCAGATTACATGCTCCAAGGAGCTCATTCAAAACCTTGACAAATTTTCCACAGTTCATCAAAGTGGCTCATGTAATAGTAATAAACTATGAAATATACTGACTTACTTTGGGTGGGCATTCTGCTCGGCTGTGATGAGAGTTTTGTTGAAAGGAATCATTTTATTGAACAACCTCTGAAGTTGCCATGAAAGGCCGAGGTTCATTATTCATGCTCTCAGTGGGAACCAGGCGTCTAACTTAAGCTGTGATCAGTAACTAATAGAAATTGGCCACCACCAGCTCTGACATCCAAGATTTGAGAGCGAGACAGCAAAGTGCATTACAGTCAATGATCTATGATGTCAGAAGACAAACAATAAGAAAACATGCCCTGGAATATATAGGCAGGTATGAAAAAAATGCTGTAAAGTAAGAATGCCTTTAAAAATAGACATGTTAATAGATCATATTTATCAATGAACAGTCTGTACAAGTCTGTACACAGAAGAAATCAAATCATTAAGTGTGACCACCATTTGCCTTCAAAACTGCCTTCTTATAGATTTCTTCTTCTTCAAGTTTTTGGAACTTGACAGGTAGGTTGGCCCAAACATCTTGGACAAATCCCCACAGTCCTCCTGTGGTTTTAGTGTGAACAACCTCAACGAGTATCAAGGAATCCAAAGAAATTTTTTCAACCAGGTATGTAAACATAATGGGCCTTCAAAATATTACAAAACAATGACACATTTAAAACACTTTCAACATCAACTTTTCATCATCACCAATGATAAAAAAAACATTAATGTTATTATAAATTTAAATATGACCCTGGTTTACAGCTAAGCTCAGACAGCTAAGGTTGGAAAAGGAGGCATTTAGGAGTGGTGACAGGGTGCAGGGCGTTAAAGTACAGGTTTAGCAAGGAGGTGCGAGAAGCTAAACGACTGTACTCAGAGAGACTAAAGAACCAGTTCTCTGCAAACGACGCCACTTCTGTCTGGAGGGGGTTCAGACAGATCACAAACTATAAACCCAAAGTCCTCCACTCCATAAACGATTCTCGCCTGGCAAATGAGCTGAACCAGTTCTACTGCCGCTTTGAGAGTCAATCTTAAACAGACACCTTCGCCCGTGA